ATCACTAATAGTATGAAATTCTATCATTCTATCTCCAGCCTCATTTCTGTCACCAAGACCATGCTGTCGAAATACTGATCCTTCTTCCTTGTTTCTAACATTTGCATTCCCCTCACTTATTATTAATGCATCTTGGTTACATGTTCAATAAATTTATGATTGTAAAAGTTGTTAGAAATCTTCTATTTCTTCCTCTTTGGCTCTGGTTGTTGGTGCATATATTTGAATGATAGTGGTATTAATAAATCTTCTTTGTATGCATATGGATATTATCCTGTCACTCTCAACATTGTATTTCAGGATGGATGTAGAAATGGCCTTCTTGATTATGAATGTGACCCCATTTTCCCTCATATTTTCATTTCTATTTCCAGCATAGTAGATAATGATTATCTGATTCAATACTTCCTAAGCCAATCCATCTCAGTTCACCGATGACCAGTATGTCAATATTTATGTGTTCCAATTCTTCATTAACAATGTCCAATTTTCCAACATTCATACTTCTCACATTCCATGTTCCAATAAACTAGTGTCTGCTTGCAACTGTTCCTCCTCCTCTGTGTTTCCAGTAGGAGGCCTCAGCCTTCTATGCTCTACGTACTAGTCTCACCTAAATGTGCTCTATTGTACATAGAGTTTTCGAAGGTGTCTTATTTTGGAAGTGTATGACCAGTGCTTCTCCTTGGTCTCTCTTACTTTGGATGTTTAGCTCTAGTGCAGTATCTGACAGACAAGCATTCTATCCAAAAGATGAAAGCTCTTTCCCCATTACAGAGCTAACAGATTAGTGTTACTCCTCCCTTTGTCATGAGTGCCATGGCACCATTCTCCACCAGTGTCACACTCTACTCTCTCACCTTGCCTCACCAACATCTCCCTCCCAACTCTTCCCAGCTAACTCAATATGGTGTCTCAGGTCTCTGGTCACTTCTGTCTGCTCTTTATCACTCTACTCCCCAGTAATGTTGGCATGCTGGGTAGGTCTTCTGGGAGGCTGGACAGGTCCTCAGGGCTGATGGACAAGGCTCTAGGTCATGGGGGCAGGGTATCAAGTTGAAATTTTTAAAGATGCTATGGACAGGATATTGAATGATGTGGAGTGCATCAAAAGAAGATGAAAGGAGTACCCAGAATCACTGTACCCCCAAAAAATGGCTGACACAGAAGAATTTCATGAAACAGCATATGATCAAGAGGCAATGGGGATGAAGGAGGAAGTTCAAGATGCTCTGAAGGAATTGGAAAAACACAAGGCCTTTGGAATTAATGGAATACCAGTTGATGTATTTCAGCAAACAAATGCTGCCCTGGATGTGCTCACCAAGTTGTGCCAAGCAATCTGGAGCACAGCTGCCTGGCCAGCTGACTTGAAGAGATCCATATTTATTTCCATTCCCAAAAAGGGTGATCCAACAGAGTGTGGAAATTATTGAACAATATCACTAACATCCCACACAAGCAAAATCTTGCCGAAGATTATCCAAAAATGACTGGAACATTACATCAACAGAGAACTCTCAGAAGAATAGGCTGGGTTTAGAAGAGGCCATGGCAAAAAAAAAAAAGAAGAGGCCATGGCACTAGAGACAGTATTGGCAATTGCAGATGGATCTTGGCTGAAAGCAGAAACTACCAGAGAAATGTCTGTGTTTTGTTGACTGCTCACAGGTATTTGACTGTGTGGATCACAACAAATTGTGGCTGACCTTGAGAAGAATGGAAATCCCAGAACATGTGATTGTGCTCATGAAACTAATATGTGAACTAGGAGGCAGTAGTCAGAACAGAGCAACAAAATACTGCATTGTTAATGGACAGGGATGTGTCCTGTCTCCATACCTTTTGAATCTATGTGCAGAACAGATAATTTGAGAGGCTAGACTTTATGAGGAGGAATGTGGCTAACTTGCATTATGCAGATAACACAATCTTGCTCACTGAAACTGAGGAGGACCTCAAGCATCTGCTGCAGAAAGGCAAGGGTTGTAGTTTTTAATATTAATTGAAGTTTAACATCAAGAAGACAAAGATTGGCGAGCTCTGGTGGCCTAGTGGCAAGAAGCTGTGCTGCAATCTCAGAGGTGTGCAGTTCGAATCCACCAGATGCTCTGCTGGAGAAGGAGGACCAATCTCCTCCTGTACCAATTAGATCTGATTTGACAGTACACACACACAAAAATGATGAAATGAAATTAAAAAATTAAAAAAAAAGAAGACAAAGATTCTCACCACTAGGCCAATTGGCAGCACTATAATAGATGGAGAAGAAATTGAGTTTGTTAACAATCTCAGTTTGCTTAGGTCCACAATCAGCATTCTTTGAGATAGCAGCCAGGAAATAAAAAGATTAATTAGATTAGAAAAGTCTGCTGTCAAGGACCTCTCCAGATTGCTGAAGTGCAAAGATGTCAGTCTGGAGACTAAAGTGCTTCTGATACAGGCCATGGTCTTTGCAATTACTTGCTATGCTGCACAATTCATGCTATGCGTGAAACCAAATTGCTCTCTGGAGGCTAAGATTTTTAAGCTCCATATGACCTACTTTGGGCATGTTGCCAGGAGAGTTTAGTCTTTGGAGAAGGCCATCATTCTTGGAAGGGTGAAGGGACAATGCAGGATAGGAAGACCTTGGATGACATGGGTTAACACAGTAACTGGGGTAATAGGGGCAGGTGTGTCAGAGACTGAGATTGGCTCAGGATAGAATAGAGCTCAGAGCTATAGGGGTCACTACAAGTCACAGGTGACTCGATGGTACATACCAACAACAACAACCAACTTTTTCAATCTGAAATAGATGAAACATGTTATCAAGATCCATTAATAATAATTGGTGACTGGAATGCAAAACAAAGAAAAAGGGCTGATAGGTGAAAAATACAGTTTTGATGATAGAAGTGAGATTTGAGATCGAATGATTGAATTTTGTACAATCAGTAATTTATTCATTACAAATATCCTAGTGGCAAGAAGCTGTGCTGCACTCCCAAAGGCATGTGATTTGAATCCACCAGCTGCTTCACAGGAGAAAGATGGGAAATCTCCCCTTGTGTGCTAACTGGCTCTGAAAACCCCCTGGTTTTCATGGTCAACTGTGGGTCAACTCCAACTCTACAGTACAGAACAGGAACAACATACCCATGGATTTCACATGATGACCTACACAAGAATCAGACTGACTGTGTCTGTGCGACAGTCAATGCAGAAACTCATTATCAGCAGTCAAAACAAGGCCAACGGCTTACTGTGGAATGCACCATCAGTTACTCTTATGTAAGCAGAAAACTTGTTCACAAGAATTAAAATAAGACTTTAAGTCTATTCCACTTAAATTTCAAACCTTTCTGAAGAATATATTTGATCTATTAAATACTAAGGATAAATGACCAGAGGAGTTGTGGGATGACATCAAGGCTATCAATCATGGAGACAACAAAAGGTCATTACAAAGAGGGGAAAGAAAAGATCAAAATGGATGAGAAGAGGCTCTGAAAGTTGCACTAGATCATGTCATTTTTGTTATGTGCTATTGAGTCACCTGTGCCTATGTACAGCAACTCTGAAACCTGCCCTATCCTGAGCCCATATCATCATCTCTGACAGACCTACTCCCATTTCTCCAGATACTGTGTCAATCCATCTCATCCTGGGTCTTCCTCTCCTGCACTCTCCTTCCACCCTTCCAAGCATTATGTTCCTCTTCAAGGACTGATCTCTTCGGGCCACATGCCCAATGTATATGATACAGAACTTCAGAATTCTTGCCTCCAGGGAGCAGCCATATTTCATCCCCCTCTAGGACAAAGCTGTTTGTTCTCCTGGCAGTCCACGGTATGTTCAAGACTCTTCTTCAGCATCACAACTCAAAGACATCCTTCTTCTATCATCCTTAGTCATTGTCCAGCTCTCTGATAGATAGCAAGTAGTTGTGAAGGTCATGGCTTGGATCAGGCACCCCTTAACCTCCAGACTGACATTGTTGCTCTTCAGTACTCTTGAGAGATCCCTGACAGAAGACTTTTCCCAAGGCAATTCATCTTTTGATTTCCTGACTGCTGGTGCCAAGAGTGTTGACTGTGGAACCAAGCTAGCTGAAGTTATCAGCAATCTGTATTTCTTCCCCATTTATCATGAAGCTGCCAATTGGCCTAGTGGTAAGAATCTTTGTTTTCTTGATGTCAAGCTTCATTTCATAGGTACTACAGTCCTTGGCCTTCTGCAGCAAACCTCTCATGCCATAGATAGGCCAAAACAAAGGGAAGAAATGCTGAAGTAAAAGAGATTCACAGAAGATTTCAAAAGGCAGCTGGAGACTCCAAAGCAAAGTATTATAACAAAATGCTTAAAAGGCTGTAGCTAAAAAATCAAAAGGGAATTTCTCGCCATTTCTCAAGTTGTAAAAACAAAAATTAATTCAAGACTCAAGTTGCGGGGAGCTCTGGTGGCCTAGTGGCAAGAAGCTGTACTGCAATCCCAGAGGCGCGCGGTTCAAATCCACCAGACGCTCTGCCGAGGAAGGAGGGACAATTTCCTTCTGTACCAGTCAGATCTGATTTGACGACACACACACACACAAATAATAAAATAAAAAAAAAATTTTAAAAAAAGACTCAAGTTGCAATACTGAAGGAATCTTTGAACAAAATTTTGAATGAGGCAAGAAGTATCAAAAAAAGGAATGCACAGAGTCACTGTACCAAAAATAATTGGTTGACACTGAAACATTTCAGGAAGTAGCACAGGCTCAAGAACCAGTGGTGATAAAGGAAGAAGTTCAAGGTATGCTGAAGGCAGTGGCAAAAAATAAAGCCCAGGAATTGATAGAATACTAATTGGCATATTTCAACAAACAAATGCAACTCTGAACATGCTCACCTGTTAATCTATGCCAAGAAATTTGGAAGACAACTTTCTGTCCAAATAACTGAAAGAGACTCATATTTATTACTGTTCCAAATAAAACAAAAAAGGTGATCCAGTTTCCTTAAGAAGCATCCATGGCAGGGCAAGAGGATCTGGTGCAGCGGGAAATCCACAAGGACTGGGCAAACCGGGAGTGCATTGAGGTCATCACCAGCAGCACCAAGAAATCGTGGACTTTGTCAATTCATTCAATATCAAGACTTGTAAAACTAAATGAGAAATTGACAGCCGTTGGCCAGACGATAGAATACATTGAAGCCAGGGTGACAAAAGGTGAACCACTCATCTGGAACTGTGCCATGATGATGCTGGGAAGTTGTTTTGCAGAACACAGGCCCACGTGGGAAAGGCCCAGCAGTCTTCAGTGCCTTTTCTTCTTACAAAGCAACAGGGCTCTTTCTCATTTTCTTTTTTCCAAAAGTGAAACCTTTGAACTGTACCATGTACATCCTGGAGTGTAATGTGGCATGTGGGGGAAAATCCAGGAGACTCTTGAAGACATTAGACATCTTTTCAGTGACATTTTAGAGAACTATTTGGCAGTGTGTTTGGGGTACTCAGAGCCAAAGCCTCTCTGTAAGGTTCTCTGCACCTCTTTTCTCAGTGTCAGACTTCGCTTATAGCTCTTTATGCTTCTGTACTATTTCTGTAAAAAGTCTTTGTCTCCGCTCCACCTTTGGCAGGGAGTGGGGACTGTCATGGCAGAGACCCTTACCCTGGCCAGGTGATGACCAGAGAATATTGTTGCTGACCTACCAGTCTCTTTTTTTTTTTTTT